GCTCTTGTGGTTTTTGCATTGCCTGGGAACTGTAGCAGAGGATTTTTAGCAGGGGGTTTTGAGGGTACAATGGGTGACTGGAGGGTGAGGGGAAATGGCGCATACAGAACAGGATGGCAGCGCTTTGGTCAGGTTACAACAAATTGAAGGCATATCTGGCTTTTTTTTTTTAAACAACTGAGATCCATTGAATCTTTGGAAAAATATATATTCAAGTCCTTTTCCATTTCTAACACTGGCCTGTTTAGGGCTTGTTATGGTTGAGTTGGAGTTTGTATTTCAGGGCTTAGTCCCCTAGCAGATATAATTGTGGTGTATTGTCTCCCATGGTGTGGGGTATCTTTCACTCTGTTGATTTTGTGTTTGATGTATAAATGTTTTAAAATTTTATGTAATTCAGCTTAGCTATTTTGTGTTTTATTGCTTAAGAACTAATTTCCTTGGTGTCTTTTGATTTGTTTGCTTTGAGGGTTGGTTAAATGTATGGACTCATTTTTTCCTGTTACACGAGTGACACTTTGTGTCACTCTTATGATCATTAATTCCTTTCAGTTGTGTAACTGAAAATCAGACCTGCCCTTAAAAATTTTGTTTATGGTGAAGGTTTTGTTTTGTTTTGCTTATGTGGAATGGAACCCAGGGGTGCTTTGCCAGTGAGCAATATTCTCAGCTCTTTTCAGTCTTTATTTTAAAAGGATCTTGCTAAATCGCCCAGGTGGCATTGAACTTTCCATCCTTCTGCCTCAGCTTCCCCAGTGGCTAGGATTGTAAGCATCTCATCATGTCCAACTCACAATGGGACATTTTTAATGACTGTGTCACATTCTGCACACAGGTCCTCAGCACCAGCTCAGGGCCCATATCATAATTCATGTGTGCAGAGTCACTGTGCCCACTGGACATTCACAGTCTCAGGTTGCCTCCCTGTGACCAGCGGGGTGCGTGGTATTATTTCCATTTTACTGTTGGGGAAAGTTGTAGAAGCTTATGTTGATATACAGAGGTGCCCAGTTATTTCTGAGTAAAAGAATAAGCATAAAAGCCAATTTCTGCTGTCATGTAAAATAAATGTCCTTCTACATGGAGTCAGAGTGTCACTGCACAACAAGATACTCATTGCCGCAGTTCCCAGTTTGACCACTTTTCACCTTCCCCAAAGGCTGAGGCCTCTGGGTTGTTCAGCACTGGGGGTTTTGGGTTGTGCCCCATGGACCCCATTTCTTCACCCGGCACACCTCACATCACAGGGTCTAGAGATTGGACCTCACATATTGTGTAGCAGGGCGCATTTGGAGAAAATAACTGGGAAACATTTCATCATTTTGAAACTCCAGGGGTAGCCAATTTCTCAGTGGCATTAACATAGGCCACAATCCCCAAACTGAGCATTAATCTTAGTATCTGTTTATTTATTCATTTATTCTATTTAGTCATGTGGTAATGAGGATTGAACCCCACGCCTTTGTTCTCAGAGACATCTTAGTCCTTTTTACTTTTTTTTTAAAAATAGTATCTCACTACATTGCTAAATTGCCATGGTTGGACTCGAGCTTGAGGTTCTTTTGCCTCAACCCCTTGGAGTGCTGGGATTATAAGTGTGACCACCATACATGACTTTTTATATTTGTATTTTGACTTAATTTTTGCAACCATTTTGTTAAAAGAATTCAGACCACATGAGAGTAGTGCATGCATGTGTGCATGTGCGTGTGCGTGTGCGTGTGTGTGTGCATGCGGAAGTGATACCTGCTGCCCGTGTTCATTGCAGCACTCTTCACAAGAGCCAAGCTCAGGACTCACAGCCTAAGTGTCCTTTTCCAGATGGAGTGGTCATAGTGTGCAGTGTGTGCACACAATGGAACACCATTCTGCCTTAAAAATTGTTACTTCTCACAATGTGGGTGGAACTAGAGAATATAATGCAAAATGAAACAATCCAAGTGCAGAAAAATAAGGCTCTGAGGTGTGGATTCTCAAAGTGTCAGACATTTAGAAGTGGAGTGGAATGGTGGTCACAGGGGGCTTGAGAACCAGGAGATCGTGGGCAAAGGGTTCATTTTTTTAGCTGCCTAAGGGGAAGAAGACCTTTAAAAAAACATTTGAGATGAATTTTAGAGTGTGATTAATGCAGTAAATAATAATGTATGTGTCAAAATTGCTGAGAGTAAATACAAATATTTCCAGCATATAAAATGGTAACTATTTGAAATGATGGATATCAGCTTAATCAAATGGATTCAATTATTATTTCTGTTTGTAGTTGTAAATCATATTATCAGTTTTAGCCAGGCATAATGGTGCACACCTGTAATCCCAGCACTTGGGAGGCTGAGGCAGGAGGATTGCTGTGAGTTTGAGGCCATCCTGGACTACACAGTGAATTCAAGGCCAGCCTGACTACACAATGAGACCCTGTGTGATAAATAAAACAAACAAAAACAGAACAAAAAATCAGTTTTACCCCATAAATATGCAATTTTAAAACTTACAATTAAAAATTTAACCTACCATTCAGGAGGCTGAGACAGGAGGATCACCATGAATTTGAAGCCAATCTGGGCTACATAAGTCAGTTCAAGACCAGCCTGCACTACACTGTGAGACCCTGTCTCAAAACAAAAACTTATAATAAGTTAGATCAATAAATAAATATTACAGGTATGCATTACCTTCTTGAAAGGAATTGGAATGGTTTGGTTTGTTTGATTGGTGGTGGTATTTTTCTTTTTGTTTTAGTGTTTGTTTTGTTTTGTTTTTGAGAGGTTTTTCTATGTAGTTCAGACTGGATTTGAACTTGCTATGTAGCCCAGGCTGGCTTTAAACTCATGGGGATCCTCCTACTTCTGGGAGAAAGGAGTGTACCACCAGGCCCAACTAAATGTTTTTAAAATAAAAACTATTTAGTATGAAATAAATCATCATTGGATCTTGTTTCTTGATCTGTTTCTTTTGATTTGTGATTTAAGACCATTTACATTGATGGCTGTAGCTGATATGTATTGATTTATCCTTGTCATATTGTCTTGCTGTTGGTTCCCTGCTTTTCCCCTCTGTTTAACTGGATGCCCTGCCTGGTGGCTTCCTTCTGTTGGTGTTCTTGGATTTGTTGTCTTTTTTATCTCTTTCTAGAACATCTTTGAGAACATTTTGTAGAGCTAGTTTGGTGGTCACGAATTTCTTCAGTTGTTCTTTGTCATAGAAGTATCTTATTTCTCTATTAATTCGTTAATAGTTTTGCAGGGTGCATCAATCTGGATTGGAAGTTTTTTTTTGTTTTTTTTTTTTTTTTCAGGGTTTGAAATACTTCAAGCTGTCCTTGACTTAAGGGTTTGTGTTGAGAAGTCTTCTGTGATTCTGATGGGCTTTCCTTTATAGGTGATTTGTTTCTTTTCTCTAACAGCTTTTAATATTCTGTTTTTATGATGAATTTCTGAAATCTTGATTATTATATGCCCTGGTGTAGATTTATTTCGGTCATGGCTAATTGGAGTTCTATATGCCTCACTAATTGCATGTGAAATTTTTTCCCATGGTTGGGAAGTTTTCTGCCATTACTTCTGTGAATAGGTTTCTGTGTGGTTTGTGCTGACTCTTGCTTTTCATTTACTCCCGTCAACCTTATGTTGTTCTTTTTTGTGTCATCTTGCAGCCCTTGGATTGTTCTTTCATGGTCTCTTGCTATTTTTTAAGAGATTTTTTTTTTTCTGTGACTGCTAACTGTGATCCTGTTTTCTAGGTCTGATATTCTGTCTTCACTTTCATTTATTTGGCTTTACATGCTTTTAGTAATTTTTAAAAATTTACTGGATATCTATTTGAACCAGTTTCATGAAAAAAAATAAAATAAATTATTTTAACATTTAGAAGGAATTTCACTTTCTACCTTTTTGGAATAGTAAATATTGCTGTGCTATTAGATATGAGACCACAGAGTATACTGACACTTCACTATGTCCCTTTTTTCTGAAACTAGCTTTTAGCTTGACATACAGGTTACTTATTTACCAAAAGTTACTTAGCTGGTTGTCTACCAGGCCTGGCTGTTTTCATTCATTTTAACTATTCAATAAATATTTACATTTATAAATATTTATACCTGTAATTACTCATTCTTGGGATATTATAATAAATGAGTTTCTATGAGCTTTTTATTTTCCTTTGTATAGTTGGAGTGTTCACTTGGGTTCATATATTTGTAAAAATTTTCCTTGCTTTTATGGCATTTAAATGTATGCCACACCATCTCATTTTCAGTTTCAGCTCATGTCTTCCATGTCTACCAATTTGTTTATTTGTAAAGGAAAGCTTACCCTTATTTCAAGAATGTTAGCATGTGTCTATAAAATCCATATTTCTCTTAAGTGTACATTAACTGAGCCCTTCTCTTTTTTATAGTTAGCATCACTTAGTTTTCCCTTTTGACTGCTTGGGAAACCACATAGGGAATTGGTTGTCCCACGTAGAGGATAATTATTACAGTTTTGCTGAAGGGTGTGTATGTGGTGGATGTTTGTAACAAAGTGCCTTGTGAGGATTCCCTCCTCTTTTGTTCCATGTTTTACTTTTTTTTTTAACTCAGTATTAACACCACTGTGGCTAACAGAAAATTTTTAAATATTTAGGCTTGATTTAGCTTACTGGTTTTCTCTTTATACATTGGAGATGGTTTAGGAATAATACTACACATTTTTGTTAAACTGAAAGGTGATTAGTATTTTTCTGATTTACTTATTAGCTCAGGCTGCCATGATAAAACACCACAGACTGGGTGGCTAAAACCACAGAAGGTTTATTTTTCTCTCAGTTGTGGAGTCTGAAATCTGGGTTCAGGATTCTGGTCTAATAGGACACTGAGGGTTAAGCCCTTTTCACATTGAAAGTTCAGCCTTCAACATGTTAATTTTAGGAGAACACAGTTCCACAGTTTAGTGCACAGCAACCGAAGATCATGCATTTGAAAATGTGTTATAATATGAAGTCACAGTCCCCATGGAAACAGTCAAGGTACCTCATGGGGTCCTAGTTATGCTTCCCTCTCTGCTTTGGCCAGGAGAGTTGTGGTATATGTATATTATATATAATCTGTTCACTGTTATATGTGGAATAAACTTTGTGGGTAAAATATTGACCTAAGGGTGTTGAATTGACTGTGGTGTATTTGTTCTGGTTTTGACCTGGCAGAGCTTCGATACTTTTTGTGCTGACAATCTACCAGAGTTTCAGTTTCTTGGCAGCAGTGGAGACATTTGTGTTGGAGAAGAAGCTCTTCATGTGAGTAAGCCTCTGTTCTGGAACGTGTGTCTGTGGCCATTGGGCTAACTGCTCAGTACCAGAATTGGGCCAAGGATTTGATTTCAAGGATTGACATCTTCCTGTTTTATTCTTTTTTTCTTTTCTCTTTTTTTCTTTTCTTCTCTCTTCTTTTATTTTCTTTTACTGTAGTTGCTTAATTTACAAAAATAAATTGTATATATGTATCATGTATAGTACAGTACTAGATTTTGAAATTGGTATGGGAATGACCAGTGTTAACAGAAAGCAAAGGCATGGCTAGGATAGAAAATCAAAAGCATGTGGGCCTTACAACAAGGGCAGGAATTTCAGGACTAGGATATGGTCAGTAAGTCCCAGTGTGGCAGAGAAAGCAAAAGGTTGAAAAGTATTTTTGTTTGTTTGTTTTCAGCAAATAATAGGTGATGATGACCCTTGACAGGAAAGTTTAAGCAGCTTGATGGAGATTAAGTAGGTTCAGCAGTAAATTGCCCTGGGAGGGAAAATTGACAATAATTCACCAAATTTAGCCATTGGTGGAAAAATGCAAAGAGCCAGAGAGCAGATTTCTAGTAAAAAGCCATCTGGTTTTGTTTCATGTGTTTTTCAAATATGGAAGAGATTCGCATATATTAAATGTGAAGGAAAGGAATCATCAGAGAAGGAAGGACTGAAGATACAGACAGACAGTTTCGGAATTATGGGAGACTGATGTCAGGAGGAGTCAGGGTTAGGATTTGGTAGCTCTCAGACCTGTTTGCTGGGTGTGTGGTTGCTAAAAGCAGTCTATTTCTCTTCTAACATGAAAGTAGCAAAAGTGAATAAAGTTTAGTGCTTTGATGCTAACTGGGGGCCTTAGAGAGTAGCATCCCCTCTGTAATAGAAGCAGGGAGAAGCAAAGCCTCCATCAGCACTGAGATTAGCCCTTGACGTGCTATCTTCACAGACAGGGGAGAAGCAGTCTCAGGAGGAGGAGGAGACACAACTCTGCACCTGGAGGGAGGTTTTAGGGCAGTGCAGGGTTTCAGGACAGCTGCAGCAGGGAACTGTGTAGTGAGAACAGTCACAGCAAGAGCCTCCTGGGGCTGATCTCCAGGGAGCTGGCAGCAGGGATGGGGGCAGCCCGGGGGATGTGGAAAGCTGGTGTGTTAAGCCCCAGGTAGCAAAAGAAGTCTGTATGGCGTGCAGATCTAGTATGTGCCTTCTGAAACTAATCTGGGATTTATAATGTGTGTGTTTCTTCTATAGGCATGAATATATCAGTGGATACTATGGACTGTCATCTTATTTCCTTGGAAAACTACTATGTGATTTACTATGCAGGAAATTGTTACCAAGTATTATATTTAATTGTATACTATACTGCATGTTAGGTAAGTAACAAGACAAAAAAGAATGTAATTTTGGGCTTGGATTAGAAGTGAAGCCAGTTTCTATATGCAAGCGTATTTGTGGTTCTCAGAACTACAAACCAAGCCATGAGCTGGGGAAGCATGAATCCACAGTGCATGCTTTAAAGCTGTACAACGTGGATATTTCCTCAAGTCTTATTCCAAACAAACTTTTGATTTTTGTTGTTGTTTTGGTTTCTTTGAGACAGAGTCTTGCTGTGTAGTTCTGTGTAGTTCAACTCACTGTAGAGCCCACACTGGCTTCAGACTCACAGCAATCCTCCTGCATCAGTCTCCTGAGTGCTGGGATTACAGACATGCAACACTACGCCTGCCAACCAAAATTAAAATTATTTATACAACTACATTTTGGTGACAAATGCTGGGTGTCATGCACAATTATGGAAAGAATTTGTACAACTATCTGAGGCTGTACTAGAGCAGCTGGAGTATTTATTGCCTATCCATATTTTTACCTGTATCTCTAAATATATCACTATATTACTATAGATAGGTAATATCTATTATTGTATTGAGAGGTGATAAATCAATATACATTCTTTGTCCTTCTTACTCTCTCATGACTTAAATATGATGACTTTGGGGTTTATTGGTTTAATAAAAATACTTGTTATAAGAATGCAGACAGATTCATTTGTGTTTTATTCTCAGGCTCCACCTTCTAGGCTCTTTACATCAGTATATTCATATATTTCCCTGACACATACATATACATACCAAAGTTGTCTATTTTGACAATACATTATAGGATAAGAACCACTGACAGAGCTTACAGTTTGCATTTTTTTAAAATAAGAGGTGCCTCAATAAGAATTAGGCATGTAATTCAGACTTCCCCAGACTCTTGATTGGTAGTTGTGTGGCTATTCGAAAGTCTTCAGACTGTGTGACCCAGAGCATTCGCTCATTATGGTTTACAGAACAGTTTATTAACTTAACAGCCCCATTCTCAACCACAGTCATGTGAAGCTTTGGCAGGGAGATTTAGGTTTTAAAGGCACCCTCTGTTCCAGGACAGTAAGACTCTGAGAGGTTGTGAAACACCCTGCCCCTGCTCTCCTCACTACTAGCCGTCAAGTACACACTGAGTGCTGTAAAGGTGTCTGAGGAAGTTAATGGCTATTGCTGTTTTCTTTAGAAGAGCAAACAGACAGCTCTGGCCCATCGTGTTGCCTGAAGCTCTCCATCTCAGAAACTCAGGTATTGTTCATTATCACACATGAGGGAGCACAGGATGTACGGAACAGTGCTTTTGCAGTATCAAAAAGAAAGTGGTGTGGTATTAGAAATTAGAACTTTAGGTGGTTACAGGGAAGCAAACAACAGGGTAGTTGTGTAGTAAATGACTTTAAATTTTGACATCAGTTTCTCTGAATATTATAGCATTACTTACCCAGTAGAGAAATGTAACTATCCAGTGACCGAGGCTGTTGACCTGCCTCCTTTTCTTTGTTAGGATTGAAGCGAACTGCAGGTGCTTTTCTCGTCCTGATGCTTTCCCTTGCGATGGTGTCTTGTTCGGCCCACTTTCTGGCACTGGCCATCGCTGCAGGTCAGGGTGTGGTGTTTCTAACAACACGTCTTATGGACATCTATTTTGTGTTTATGATGGTGAGTAGAAACTGTGTTTCTGTGAGGGAATTTTCCCCTTTTTTCTTCCTGCACATTCCTCTGTCCTGTAAAGCCATCATGGATTGTGTAGATTCTTTTCAGGGGCCATAATATAGTTAGTAATTAGAAGATGTGCTAGCATTCCTCCTTGATCTTATGTAGGGTGATTTTTGGTATTATATTGTTTTGTTTTGTTTTTGTGCTGTTCTAACATAGTTAGTATAACTTAACTGACATGTCCTACTAATAAGCTTTTAAAAGACATTTCTTGGTGACATTTTCTAAAATGGTAGCTGTCATTTAAAATGTCACCAAGAAGGGTCTTTTAAAAGCTTATTAGGATAAATTAGAACTTCCAAAACCAGAAGAATTAGGATTCACCAATTCCCTCATAAAAAGTCCAGGTAACCTGCTGTCTTCATGCCGGTGTTGGAGAACTTCTTGCTGTTTAACCGTGGTGGAGGGGTTGTGGTTGGGTTCACTACTCTCTGGGGTGAGAATGAAGCTCTGTGAAATGTGTTAGAGTGTAGGGTTGGGAAGTCTGTCTGGGGAGCTTCTTGTATTTTAAAAAGGAGTGTTTTGAAAATACTAGAGAATTCCAAAGTCCACAGTATTAGATCAGTTCCTGTCTGGATTTCTGTGAATCTCTTATATCAAAATATTCCTGCTTATCTTTCTTTTAATGGTTACTTAGTCCTAATTTTACATGGTCATAAACCTTGCACTCGCTGAGATGAATCAACAGATAAACAGAACCACTTGCCACAGATTTTCCCCCTCCTACATGAAGTATACAGGAATGCTTAGCCTGCTAATGCACGTTCTTTGTGCTAGAGTCAGAGTAGATGTCTTCCATGATGCCTAATCAGCATTAGCACAAGCTCTTGCCAAAGTTTAGCTCTTCCCTTAAGCCTTGTTCATCTTGCCTGTCCTGTGCTCCAGTAAAGAGAATGTCCTTCAGTAAATGTAAATCTTTTGCTGATTTATGTGATGCTCTGATTATTTTGTAAAGGTTTCCACATAGAATTTAAAAATCAATCATAAAGCTATATTTTACTTAGAAGCTGTATTATGTACTAAATACTTTATAAGCTCAAGTTTAAATATGTGCAGATGTACAGCAGCATTGTTCTTGTTTTGCATGTCTCAGTGAACCCAGTACTAGTTGGGATAGGTGTTACGTAACTATCTGCATAGTGTTTCTGGTTCATGTTGAATAATCCTTCCTGAGATCTCCATTATGATAGTGTTTTGGGTAAATTTAAATGGAGGTATTGACCACATTTCCTGTTGTACTTTATCTCATCATGGTGTGTTTCATTCCTTCACTTTGGGTAACCTGAAGTCTGTATTCTGAACAGTAAATTAATCTTGAAGCTATGAATGTAGAATGCAAACACTTTTAAATAACAAATCTTACTTTATGTGGCATTGAGTAGCCTTGATGCTCAAGATTGTTCTGGTCTATTCTTAGACTGCAGGTTAATTAGGGGGACAGACAGTGGTAAAGTTAGAATAGTCAATACAGTGGCCCTTTGTGTCCATGGCTTCCATATGCAAAGATTCAACCACAGATCAGAATCATACAGAACAAAAATATCTGTGCTGAATATGTGTGGTTTGTTTTGTTTTGACAGGGTCTTTCTGTGTAGTTCATAATGGCTTTAAATTCACTAGGTAGCTTGTCTGGTCTTGAACTCGCAATGATCCTCCTGCCTCGGCCTCCCAAGTGCTGAGACTACAGGTGTGCACCACCATGCCCAGTTAGTTTTTCTTTTCTTGTCACCATTCCCTAAAATATTCAGTATAATTTCCATAGAATTTACATTGAATTAGGTATCCTAAGATATCTTCAGATCATTTAGAATATATAGGACACATATATTTAAAGTATAAAGGGTAAACATGGGGTACACGAAAATACTGTACCTTTTAAAAATAAGAGACTTGAGCATCTGTAGATTTTGGCACCTGACAGAATCAGAGGTTCCTGGAACCAGTGGCACTTGGACACCAGGGGATAACTTACTTTTCTTCCCCAGGACAAGGGACTAAACCCAGGGGCACTGTACTACTGAACCATTTCCTTGGGCCTTTATTTTTTATTTTGAGAAAGGGTCTCACTAAATTGCCTAGGTGAGACTCTAATTTGCAAGTCTCCTACCTTAGCCTCCCATAGTGCTAGTCTTATAGGTCTATGCTACCATGCCCTGCTATGATTGTACTTCTTAATTTTCCACTGTGCGTACCTATGGAAAAGCTCAGAACCTACTAAGTATATTTAAGGGTCTTCCAAGTAAATGGAATCTGTAATATAGATCATGGGTGTATAACTTCCTAAAACCATAGTAGCCTTAGCTATGCAGAGTTATTCACATACAAAAGAGGAAGATGAGTGTTTAGAATAAGTGTAAGGAATTTGTAGATATAGTTCTAGTAGAAATGTTCCAAAGGTTGTAGAGTTCATGGAGAGGGTCTTCTTTAGGAATTCTCCATAAAATAACTGTAGTGGTTCTGACTTCTGCTTTTTGTTTTCTGTAGATTTTTTCAGGTATCACAGTAAATCTTAGAACCATGGCACCTCGGCTTGTGTGGCTTCAGTACTTCAGTATTCTGTACTATGGCTTCACGGTAAAGTATCCTTCACTGTTACCCTGACTTGGTTTTCAAGCTAGGACAAACCAAAACAAAGCCTAACCATGTTATTTCCCCAGCCATGGGCCATGGCCATCTCCCTTTGAAGAACTTTCCCTCCGGAGCAATAGATTAGAATTTACTGTTAACCTTGGTCAACACAAGGTCAGGGAGCCACCGAGGGTTTCCCTCAATTATTTTGTTTGAGGAAGATGCTGGAAGGGGAGAAATCTCATAATAAAGGAAAAGTTTCGCTTATATTGCTGAAAAGCATACTGTGTTTTAGCTTAATAAGAAAATTGAGCTGAAATTAATGAGAGGACAGGAGACTATAATATATAGCTTGTACTGAAAGGAACACTAGAACAGAAACAAAGACTATATAATATTCATAACCATATAGCTAGGTAATCACCTTCAAACAAAGGTATCTGTGTTTTTCTATGTTGTAACCAAGTTTCTAACAACTGTAGTAAAAGCTCGTTTTGATGAAAACTAACAAGAACAGAAGATCATTGCCATAAATGAACTATACTCCTTTCATTTTAGTGTTTATGGGGCTATAAAATTGGAGACAGAAGGAAGAGCTATGGGGTAATCTATCCAGAGGACTCCCTTATTGGTCAATCAGAACCAATATCTCAAATCTAGACCCGGAGATTGCTAGATAGAATAATGTTAGTTGTTTTGGTGTGACAAAGCCTGTGAATGTGAAACTTGCTATTTTTAGAAAGAGCATAAGGATTAGTCTAGAGGACATAATTGTGCCAATTCTCTGAGAACTTTTTGAAAGTTAAAGTTACTGACTTTGTCCTATTTTCACACATGTTACAGGCTTTGCAACACAATGAATTTTTGGGAGAGGACTACTGTGTGGGTCTCAATACAACAGAAAGCAGTAGCTGTCCCAACTACGTAATGTAAGTCTACACCCAGCATCCTAGTGCATGTGCTTACTACTGTGGTGTGATTTAGAATGACTTTCATGTGTAGAACGAGCCCTGGTCCTTTCAAGGTCAATGAATCATTCTGGACCTGCATTTTCGTAATCTTAAAGTGAATCATTGTGTACTAATGTAAACATGCTATATTTTTGTTCTGCTACAGTCAACATGTGTTTAATGCACAGAAATATTTTGGGCCTTTTGGAAGATTATTTTCATGTTTGATTGTGGGTTTGAGTTCTTACTTTTCTGAACATTTCCATTTAAAATGAGCTGCTATCTGTTTAGCAAAGGTGCGCATTTCCTGCACTAGATAGATTATAAGCGGCCTATGAGCCAAAAGCATGACTGACAGGACTCACGAGGGCAGCAGTCACTCAAACAGAGAGAACATTGCCCCTGCCAGGCCCCTGCACTCCCTTTTCCTTCACGTCTTTGGAAAACACCGTGAAATTAAAGCATACACAGCTGCGTGTGCATGTGTGTGTGTGTGTGTGTGTGTGTGTGTGTGTGTACAAGCTGACTCAGCATACTCCCTATCATAAGAATATCATATCCTCTAAAGAAAGAGATATATATTACAGCAGTTGAGAAGGAAATCTTGTTTTTACATAGTATCATTGAAACAAATACAGGGTTTAATAAAGTTAGTAGATCTTGTTTTAAATTTTAATATTTTCCTTCTCTATAAGTCTTGCTAATATTTGCTTTGATACATAAATTAATAAGAGAAACTATAATACTGGTATCCTAAATATCTCTTGATCATTCAAATAGTACTGATAATCATTAGCAATAAGACAAATTTTCATGTTGCCTTCTTTACCCAGCCCTTGTCCTTTGGCTTCCTCTGGGTGTGGTGTCTTTGTAATACAAGGTCACTGCCGGCCTTGTGGTCAGGAGGAAGTGGATGGGAAAAGTGGGAACAGATAGTGAGGAGTCACCACAGTCTTCCTGTCACTGAAGCTCATCCTCAGAAGGGGAAGGATCTAGCCACTTGTAACACAGAAATGCTATTGCTACTTTTAGAAATGCTAAATTTTAAAAATCCAAGAGAAGCACAGAAATGGTTGCAGGCAGTATTTGTGGCTGCATTCGATATTTTCAGCCCCAGGTATTTCTCTAGCCTGTGGCAGGACCCTCCGTCCTGCTCTGCTCCAGCTGCTCTGTAAGGTTTGAGTCTGATCCTGGCCGGCTGGGAATGTCATGTAGCTGAGTGACTGCAGTGCTCACTACAGTCTGTGTGTGAGAGCTGACAGAGCTCGACTCCCGCAGGAGGGCCTGCTCCCACCTGGTCCTGGTGTTAGCCTTTGTAGCCTGTGTTCTGGATGTCTGTCTTGTAAGTGAGCAGAAGGAGATGTTATCATTTTATCAAGGCTGTAGGCATTGTCAGTTAAAGCTCAAGATTTCCCGCCAGGAGTGAATGAAAGTATACTTGACAAACGCTGATTTTGAAGAGAGTAGCATTACAGTTAAGCAAGCTAGAAATGTGGTTCATGATAGGATTCTATAAACCTGGCCAAGTTCAGGAAGCCTACTTCCACCCTTTTAGATGTGTGTAGTATCTAGATCCCTTTAGATTGTTGGAGGGATTCCCTAATCTGTTGGGTAAAAATTGCTGAGCGTAATACCGAGCAAAATTGTAAGCACACAGTAACTGTTAGCTGTTGCCTATGAAGGTTAATTATTAACAGTTTTGTTAATCTGTGCTTTTCTTTATTAAAGAGCAGTAAATATACTGATTAAATTTGACAGCTAATAGCTACTCTTTGTGTTGAATTTCAGATGTACTGGTAAAGAATTCTTGACAATCCAGGGCATTGATCTCTCACTTTGGGGCTTGTGGAAGAATCACGTGGCTTTGGCTTGTATGATGATCATCTTCCTCACCATTGCCTACATAAAGTTGTTATTTCTGAAAAAATACTCTTAAATTAATTTACTGTGAGTTACTGTCACATTCAGAGGAGCGCTGAAGAGAGCAGAGTTACAGTCGGGTGAGCTGGAAACGTGGGGTTTAATGCTGACGCGGATTTTACATTGTCTAGTGTTTACTTGCTGTCGCGTCCTTGTTCGGCATGTTCTTTTCTTTTTTGAGTTTCTTTTGAGACAGGATCTCGCTATGGAGTTTGTGCTAGCTTTGAACTCACTGTGTAGCCCAGGCAGGCCTCAAACTGGTGGTGAGCCTCCTGCCTCAGCCTTCTGAGTGCTGTTTATAGGTGTGCACCACCACACCCGACTCAGCATGTTATTTTCAATAGAGTCATTCAAACAATCATGAGAAACTTAAGTGAAATAACCCAAGCCAAAAAACTAAAGATGTTACGTATTGCAAGTGTTTCATCTTATCAAACAATGTCCCTAAGGACTCAAATCTGCTATAACGAATTGATCTGGTTGTTTTGTTTTATTTTTTGGTACAGGGAATTGAACTCAGGACCTTGCACTTGTTAAGCAGGCGCTGTGCCGCTGAACTATATCCCTGGCCCTAACTTACTAATTTGGAAAAGAACTGAATTCTAGAAGCACTTAACAAATGACTAATATCTCTACTTTCAGTTCCCTCACTCTTTTAAGGAATAGGTAGGCTAGTTGCCCTCTAATTTTTATAGCCTATGAATCTATGATTTCCCATTGTTTCCCCAATAACAAGTGTGTTAATGCTGTATTAGAAATAAGAAATCTAAACTATTTTGGACAAACTAGTGTTATTTCTAGTGTTAAAAAATCATGCTGATGAAGAATATTTCTGATCAGCTTATGAAGGATGGTGACACTTACTCCTCTCCAGGGGTGCTGTATTATCTCAGGAAACTTGGCTATGTCTTAAACTATAGGTAGAGTAGTACAAGGCCAGGGATCTGAAATAATGACTTTTGTGTCATTTTGGGACATTCTGTCTCTGAGAAGTCACTGCCCAGAACAGTACAGTGGTAGATAATGTTCTGTGCGTCAGAATCCCCTGAGGAACTTGGCTGAGACACTGCTGTCTCTCTGAGACACCTGCCCTCGTGCCACCCAGCAGAACCTGCAGAGCGACCTCTGTGGAGAAATGACTCATGCTGCACTTGGTGATTCCCAAGATGCTTTCCACTCTGGAAGTCCTGGATTTATGATTTATTCATGGTAATATCTGTCTCTGCACAGGTTCACCTGCTACTTATCCACCACATTATTTCCATATGTTCTTTTCATTCCAACCCTTCTGGCAACAGGGAAGTATTTGCTAGTAATAAGAAAGCATTTTAAACTGTTTTATGGAGGTGTGGTGTGACATAAAGTGCAGTGCTGTGAATTACCTTAAAGAAAAGACACATGTGTAACCACCATTCCTGGTCAAGAAATGTGGTGTGGCCGCCACACCGGAGCTCCTAGTGCGCCTCTCCAGTCTCTGCAGCCTGCTGTCCTCACAGGGTGTCTGAAATGATGTGTGTGCTCCTCTCTGCTGCTTTCATCGAGCAGCGATGTGGCTCAGTATGATGTTCCTGTGGAGCAAGTGCGGGTGTACAGCTCCCTCATACTTTCAATAAAATTTTAATTTTAATAATTTTACATTTATAGAAAGTTGCAAAGATACAGTGGAAAGTTCTCACGTGTACTTTGGTTAGCTTTCTTTAATTTTAGCATTTTGTGTGGTATATATGAAGCAAAGCTAAGTAGCTACCACTGGGAAATTACTGCTAATTAAACTACACTTCCTGTTACTATCTCACCAGTTTTCCACTCATTTCTTTTATTGTTCCAGCATCCTGTTCAGGAGATCCCATGGCCTCCAGCTCCTCTTCTTAGAGGCAAATTCTTAGGAGAGTTAAGAGAACCGGGTGGTCACAGTGGTTGTTTGGGGTACTATTCAGCCTCTCAGTGGATGCCCTGCCATTTTATTACAGCATCAGTCTAGGGACAAAGCCCTTATATTTTTGTATTTGGATTTTAAGGGCAAATTTTTTCTTATGATTAATGTTTCATTTCATAAGATATTATCAGATTATACTGATTATTATGTGAACATAAAAGTCAATCGGTTTTTCCTGGTTTAGTACTATTTCTGCTTTGCCTATGAGTGTGACTTACAGTTCCCTATTTATACATGTCCTCATTACACATAGAAAATAATAGCTATACTTTGTACACAGAATAAGCCTACAGGAATTAACACAGCAGCCAAAATTATTAATACCTACTTTGTAGTACATGCGATTGTATATATTGTTTGTATTATAATTTACTTTCTATTGTGGGTAGAAACACAACAAAATTTATCATGTTATCCATTTCTAAATTAATGAACACTTGAAAATATGTTTATTTTACATAAAATATGAAATAAAATGTTGGTGTACTTAAGAATATGTATATATTTCTTACAAATTTTATTTTATTTTGAGCCCAGCCTGGCCAGCTTAGCAACTTAGTGAGACCCTGTTTCAAAAAATGAAAACAGCCAGGGTTGTAGTTCATGGTGAAGCCCCTAGGTTTAGTCCCCAGTATTACAGAGAGAGAAGGAGAGACACAGAGAGAGACAGAGAGAGACAGACAGATGGAAAAGGAGAGAGGGGATGAAGGAAGAAAGGAAGGAAGGGAGAAAAAAGTGGAGAAAGGGAGGGAGTGAGAAGAGGGAGAAAGGAAGAAAAAGGAAGGGAAGAAGGAAAGAAGGGAGAGAGAGAGAGAGATACATGAAAGAGGAAAGGCACTTACCTTGTCCCCATATTTGAAGCCATCCTGCATCATCTTAGATTTGACCTTTATTAACATCCATAGCATCTGTGTGCATTTGAAGAGTAGCATGGCTGGTTTATGTCATCCTTGCCTACTCTGGTGCTGGCTCAATGGGCTGCCACCAAGCCTGCGTACTGACAACCACTAATGGTGCTTGAGCTATCAGCAGAAGGCACAGATGCTGAGATCTCAGCATGGTCCTGTGGTCCTGCCCTGCAAGGAGACCAGACCAGCTAGCACCTTGGTAGCAGATGCAGTAA